CCAAAAAAAAAAAAAAAAAAAACCCATCTAAGTGACGCTGTCCATTTGACATATTAACATGAACAAAACTGAAGCTTAAAAATAAACACGATTAATTACTCTGAATAATAAACGATTAGTGTTAATACGAGACACGAAAAAAACCTGTTTTACTATATTGTCAAAAATAAATATATGAGTTTTTTACTTTCTTGTTTTGTTTTTAATATATATTTTATTAATATAAACATGATTCAAAATTCCATCAAGTTGATTCAAAATTCCATCAAGTTGAGTTGGTCATCTTTAATCCTCTCAAGATTTTGCGAGCTCAATTATTGTTGAATTTTTTGTGTCCTCTTTTTAAGATTTTTATTGCGTCTTCTTTCAAACTTTTTTTTTTTTTTTGAGTAATAGTAGATTAATCGGAAAATGAGATCAAAAAGAGAGGATAAAGAAAAATATTATTTGAATTTAATCTGAAGACTTAATTATTATTCGGTCTATCTTTTTAATTCTATTTCTCGGTCATTCCAATTTAGTGTTAACACGTGTGGTCCAACACGCTTGTCAAAATTCCACAAAACGACAACCGGCCTTCCCAATTGCAAACCTTGGGATGTCGTTTGTTAGGTTTGTTGCCCCTCTCATTTTCCTATGGGCTGTAGTGTCTAAAGGGACCCATACCACGTGGAAAATCTACAAAAAGAATTTGAAATGACTCATTATGCATCATCGACATAAAACTTTACTCCAACGGTATATTAAATATTTATGATGCATAAATTGATTATGTAAGATCAAATTAATTGATTGTCTGGTGTAGAATAATTAATACTATAATTAATAAAAATAGATAAAAAAAATGGGTGGTTCGGTGTAAATGACTTAACCATTAAAAATGANTGCCACACTTGCATCCATGGCAAGTGATTTACAATTATGAAAAATTAAATAAAAGAAATATTAGAAGTAATCAAAATATGATAAACAAAGTATAAGACAAAAGACGAGAGAAGCGAAAATGATTCGCTCCTATTGAAGGTGGATACTAGGAAGCCATACCAAAGTATGAAGAGGTGAATCATAAGTTGATAATAAGCTTTTTGCTATAATGATAGATCATCGTTTCAAATATAATATATCATCATTGAAAGAGTCTATTGTAACTTGTTTTGACTGACACTTAGAACGAAGAAATCCATATTATATATTGCAAAAAAAAAAGAATAATTGGATAACCAATTACAATGAAGTGAGTCAAATTCCAAAATAATACCAAAAAATAATTCTTAGGACGAAAACAAAACAGAACTTAACATAACATTCTAAAAAGTAGATAAAAAAGAACATAATACAACTCCAAAAATAAAAATAAAAAAATACTTATGCTTGGTAGAAATTTGTAAGTGACAAAAAATGACAAACCTCTTTCACTGGTTAAAGGCTCACTTCTTTGGTAAATATGTGCTTCCGAACTAGGTCTTCCAATTTTTTCCTTTCCTGTAAAATGAACAAACTGCTCAAGATCGAAGCGTCTCGATCAAAAGCACTCTGATATTTAAGTTAGTAATGGATCCAAAGCAATTGCAAGGAGACAAAAAGGAGTTCAGCGTATCTTTCACCTTGGCTCCGTGTGCCTTTTATAGACCCCTGTTCAGCTAGGGTTTTCATGATTCTTGATTCACGGTGGTACACCTTACTTCAATTAAGTGGTTCTATTTGGGAAGTTGCTAGGATCTCTCTAGCGATTTCTCCTGCCGGGCCTATAATTACGTTAATTCATTTGACCAGAATGCCTAAGTTATAGACATCTTTCTAGCTTTCCATTTACTGTTTGAAACAATTCGATCATGACGAGGACTGACCTCTTTCATTTATTCCCTAGCTCTTCGAACAGCTCGGTTTCAGACTGATGACTTAATGTAATGATTTCTTTGTCACGATACTAGTCTTATCTTACTCGCGTGGAATCTTTTAATGCAAGTGCACCTGTGACGCTGGGAGTCACCCTCTTTGCAATTGATTTATTNTTTTTTTTTTTTGAGTAATAGTAGATTAATCGGAAAATGAGATCAAAAAGAGAGGATAAAGAAAAATATTATTTGAATTTAATCTGAAGACTTAATTATTATTCGGTCTATCTTTTTAATTCTATTTCTCGGTCATTCCAATTTAGTGTTAACACGTGTGGTCCAACACGCTTGTCAAAATTCCACAAAACGACAACCGGCCTTCCCAATTGCAAACCTTGGGATGTCGTTTGTTAGGTTTGTTGCCCCTCTCATTTTCCTATGGGCTGTAGTGTCTAAAGGGACCCATACCACGTGGAAAATCTACAAAAAGAATTTGAAATGACTCATTATGCATCATCGACATAAAACTTTACTCCAACGGTATATTAAATATTTATGATGCATAAATTGATTATGTAAGATCAAATTAATTGATTGTCTGGTGTAGAATAATTAATACTATAATTAATAAAAATAGATAAAAAAAATGGGTGGTTCGGTGTAAATGACTTAACCATTAAAAATGATAACGATGGTCTGAGAACTTTATCAACGAGAGAGTACAAAGTAGTAAAAAAGGAGAGAGAACGAGTGTACGCTCAAGGTATAGTGTGTGTGAAATCTGCCCTCATGTGTAGAGATTTATAATTTATAATCACAGAACTCTAGTTGAGACAATGACGTAAAAGTCATGTGTGTATTATCTTGAAGTAATGACTATCCCGATAATTACTTTTTTACGTGCATTGACTCTTTCTACACTCTTGAGCTTTGGGCTAGACTAAGAGTCTAAAGGCGTGTTTGATATGTGGGTTTGGGTGGGTTTTGGAACATGGGTTGAGAAATAAACCCCTCAAATCCATGTTTGACAAATACACATTTACTTCAGGGTTTGAAAACACAGCCCGATTTAGACCTAGTCATAAAATCCAAGTTCATGGGTTTTATAAAACCCAAGAGATGTGGGTTTCATATGTGGGTTAATGAGTTTAACATACAAATGATATTTATATTCCTATATATCCTTTATACCCCATATATACAAATTAGTTAAGGAACACAATAATCATTTATATATAAATATATTATCATAATAATCATATATATCTGCGCATACCAAACGTGGGTATGAACAACATTAAAATGTTGAAGCTCATTTTTGAAACCAATCTTTGGGTTTGAACAAGCCAATCAAAATCCCTCCTAAAAAATATATCAAACAACCCCTAAGATAAACAAAATGAACTCGTCAAATATGCTTAGTTTAGATCTGAACTCGTCGAATATAATAAGAATGAGTTGTAAATTTAGACGTCTTGAATTTAAATTTTTACAATGTCTTAGAATCAAGCCATAAGAAATTTATTCCTCATAAATACTCCTAAATTTTCTTTAGGATAATGAAATATGAAACTTATTATAAGAAACGGGCACCAAGGTTCAAATTGTATCAAAATCAAGTAGGAGTAGGGATTTAATTTTTCTAGCCAGCAATTAAGTTAAACAAAATGAAAATTGTGAAAGGAATTAAAAATTTTAAAGAATTCTTAAATGGACCCACCATTTATATTTTTAAGTTACATATGTTTATGAATGAACCAAGGATAAGGAGATAAAGGTGGATAAGTCCAACTCCATTTTAGAAAATACCTAAACAGAAGGCAGAGATTAGGATATGCAATCCTGGGCCCCAGGGTTGAAGGGCTCCTCATTGCATGTTCAAACAGGGTCCCACATGGGGGTAAGAATGCCAGGTGCTCTTGGATTATTCCATGACACGATTGATGAAAGGTTCAGCATAAATTAGGGGAATATCTGAATTTTTAAGAATTCATTATATTAATATTCACATAATATATATATTCACAGAAGTGGTAATTTGGTCTTACGAAGTTGAAACTTGAACTTTTAAAATTATAATATAATTCAAAAAATTATATATTTTTTTATTATAAATAAAATAAAAAATTTATATCGAAATTCACAAATATTTTTTTTTAGTTAGCATAGTCTTTGTTCAAAAGACAGATAACGGGAAGGTTCTTGAATGATCACCGCACGGAAAACTTCAAATTTTCACCTCTCTGTGGCCCACGGGCGCAGGAATATAACTGACGTAAGGCTGGTGGGGTCCTGTTTGTGGTCTGTCCCACCCACTAGCTGGAGCAGCCCCCCCAGTCTTCTCCAAACTCTATAAATTAGGGCTAATTTGATCCTTACGCAGGCTTGAAGACGCCACTCCAATAGCATCTTCAACGCTCTCTTCTCTTCTCTTCTCTTCCAGGAAGAGTCTCTTTTTGCTTAACAGCTCTGGGCCCATCATCACTTTTATCTAAAACACCCAAAAAAAGCATCATGGTCGGACCCAACGGCACCACCATCAAACTCCTGTGTAGCTACGGCGGCAAGATCCTCCCCCGCTATCCTGACGGCAAACTCCGTTACCAAGGTGGCGAAACCCGTGTCCTCGCCGTGGATCGCTCCATTTCCTTTGCTGGTTCGTTCCCTTTCTATTCGTGTTTGTATTCTATGGAGGATTTCAGAGCTTTTTATCAAATTATCGTGATTTTACTCAATTTTGTTGTATTTTCACGAAAGTTTTGAATTCAATCTATCGTGAAACAGTTTTTTTTTTTCGAAAATTTTGTAGAAATTATGATAAATTAAGAAGTAAGGATTTGAACTGAAAGTATATTTTGTGGTGATGTGGTTACAGAGCTATTGGTGAAGCTAGGAGAGTTGTGTGGGACGTCGGTGAGTCTGAGGTGTCAGTTGCCGAAAGAGGACTTGGATGCCTTGGTGTCAATTACTTCCGATGAGGATCTCGCCAATCTCATTGAGGAGTACGATCGAGCTTCATCACCGCCGTCGCCTCTAAAGATCAGAGCTTTTCTCTCACATCCCAAATCTACCAAAAAAATCTCTCCTCTTCCTTCATTGGCCTCCTCATCTACATCACCAAAATCATCGTTGTCGTTTTCTGCTTTTGCTAGCGGTGGTGGTTCTAGTATTCCCAGGTTTCCGATACCGGCAGCGACTGATCGGTGGTGCGTCCGTCAGATACCAAAGCCGGTGGTGTTTCCTCTGTGCTACGAGAAATCTGCCGGAAAGCTTCCTCAGTTTGCTTATCATGCTCATGGAAATACCAGCCACATATACTTGATCTACCATGGCAATCACTGGCAATAGCACCTAAATTCGGAGGAGAAGAGCCCAATTCTCTGGAAATTATATAAAATGCAATACCAATCCGCCATTAATATGGTGAAAAGCCAAGAAAAAAAGAACCAGAAAAAGGTTTGTATCTGATGTATGAGTATGAAGGACTGTAAATTCTTGAGCAGGATCGCCTTTTTTGATCCTGTGGCAATTAATGGAATTTTCAGTCCAATTTTCGTTTGGATGATCCAAATGTGATGTGATGGTGACCAGTTTTTGTTCAACCCATTATTGCAAAGCATTCCTGACCCTTTTAATCTACTCCCATAAGCCATTAGCGTTCTATTCCTTGCTGTTGTTGCACATTTCCGTTGCTTGATATGGCACTTTAGGCTTAAGCTTTTTGTTGAATTGAGTTGAGAGTATATGTGTAGAGCACGTCCCATCTTTGTTCTATTCTTTTTCGTCATCCTTACCGTTTTCTTCTTGTTGGTCTTCTTCTCTTCTGTTTTAGTTTTGTATTTTCTCGGAAATCAGTTATATTTAAGGCTATATACATTTGTTTTTAGATTGAGGTTTGTTTCTAAGTTGTATCTTTTTAGCTTCGCAAACTAAACTGTTTTTTACCAATTTGTGATTTGCAGATGGTGGAACATATTATATTGAGGATGCATTTGAAAATTTATATGGATTAGAAGTGATAGAAAGTAAGACTGCGTAAGTAAATTGTTTTAAACTTTTTCGGCTTACATATTCTAATTTTGGAAGGGCTGAATGCATCTTTTCGGAACCAGGAACAGAATTATGATACTTTAAAGATAACTCAAGTGATAATAGAGAATAGTTGTAAATTTTGACATCTTGAATTTGAATTTAAATTTTAATAATTTTTTGAGTTTGATCCATAAAGAACTTATTTTTTATGAATACCATAGTTTGACGTTTGTCTTTAATTGAACTAAAAATACGATTAATTGAAGTACGAATAAATTAACTTGAATAATTTTGATGATTTAAAAAAAAAAAACAAAAAGAAGAAAGTATCGTGATATTTAATCCCTAGTTTTGTCATACTATCATTTAATGCTGTGACGATATTTATTTTCTGATCTTGGAAGAAGCCATCAATCAGTTCGAGGCCTATACTAACAAGTGGGTGTTCATTTTGACCAGATCATTCCATTACCTGTCAATGAGAAAGCTCAGAGCCCTGGGGGTGGGCTCTTCAACACAAATATAATTCCAAAAACATTAGAGGAATTGGATTGGAATTTTTGGGAGGAGACTTATATAAATGAAGCTTTCTCTATGCCTTCTACTGAAACTTATTGAACAGTGAAGATAATGATGTCCCATGGGGGGCCAAGACAACTAGTACATTGAAGTGGACCTATTAATTAAATGCATAAAAAGAACAAAATCTCAAAAAATACGGAAAGAAAGGGGGACCCATTTATTGGAGGAGTGGACAGAGATTGAGAGGCATAATTTTGGATACAAGGAAAGGCTCTCCACTGGTGTAGCATTCAAAGGGGTATGATGATCAGATAACAGTGAAGGGATTGAATCAAAGACCCAGAGAGAGAGAGAGAGAGAGAGAG